CAGTACCCATGAAACGGCTTTTCCGCTTGGCGTAAAGTTTGAAATTTGTAGCACAAGGCTTAACGATTTTCCTTCGCGCGGTCATGTTGGACCACGCATCCCAAGAAATATCGTCCTGGAGTATCCGTGGACAGAAAACAATCACGAAAACTAATTGACTGACGATTTTCCTGATGTTGTTACTTCATGTTCTGTTCCCCATATTAGTCATAAAAGTGAGCATCGCTATTTTTCCCGTTGTTCACTTGCCATACTGAACTTAGTTGGAAATTGGAGGCAGGAACGCTCACGCGCATGCCTGAATTTGAACAAGAAATGTCATCAGCACTACGGTGGTACTGCGTACCGGCGCTTCGCTGCCACGCAACCACCACCGGTCGCATGTGGGCTAAGGATACTGCGAGGGTCGCCCTGCCCCTACGCAGGCTGGAAAGCCCACCGTCACCTTACAAGGCAAGCTCGTTACCTTTAGGCTTCGGACCGGCTTAATCTCGTTAAACCATTCATGCGCGTCACTAATTAGCTGACGAGAAATAACCAATCTTCCGGATAGACTTAGAATAAAGGTCGATTGTGATGGTACGTTAGTGGCAATTGTTTAGTAGCGCCGAATGTTTGCACTTAAGACGTACGATGACAGACCGTAATTAAATAGCTTATCATTACGGCAGATTTCACAGCTGAGTCTGCCAACGGTTGAGTACTTGGGTGCTACTTCCTGGAAATTTGCTACATAGCTTGAACACTTTTTCGGAATCCGAATGTTTGACAGTGGCAGCGAGACTTACTTGATGTAGTATTGCTGTGGTCGCACCAAGGGACCCATCAGCGATTGTGTGATATTACCGCCTGCCAATACTTAACCTAGAGCAAGGGACGTTCTTCGGGAATTCTCACAGACCTCGGACAGGCGACGATCGGATCGGTCCAGTCTTAAGTAGCGGCGAGACGGAGAGGCTGCAGTTAACACCCCATCTCATTCCCATGCTGTGCGACTACCATCAGCTCTGAGAGCCTGTCTTTATATATAGGAGACTGCATCTACAAGACAAACGACAAGTCATTGCTGTTTTACGGTACCTCTGCCCGTAGCGTAAAGTTAACAACCTTGCTTTGTAATCTGACGGCGCGGGTTCGGGCCCGCGTAGGGGTGGGGCGACCCTCGCAGTATTCTTAGCCCATGCACGACCGGTAGTGGTTGCGCGGCAACGAATCGTCGGTACTGCGTATCGGCGTACTGCTGATGTATTTTTTCTGTACTTCCTGTTTTTGTATCATTCCATCTGATAGCCTTATTGATGGAATTTGCTTCACTATTCCTATATATGTCTCTATCTATTGTTGAAGCCCACGCTTCTGACTAAATTTTAGACTATCATTTAGGTTCACGTCTAGACGTTAAATAATCACTGACTAACGACTGGTAATGTCTATCTACCCAATTTGTTATTATTTGTGTATAACTGTAGAAGTCTGGTGAGAGATTATCGAAATTATATGTTCGCTTACACTGACTTTTGATCTTGCTATGGGGTTTATCAGAAATGGTTGGTTTTTCTAGTACGTGCGGCTTCTCATAACTTGACGAATATAGCTGTTAGTTCAGTTTAAATCCACGCACGTTCGTAGTACTATGGTTCATAAGGGTTCCTTCTTCTCCATTCGGTTTTTGATAGTTCATACACAAGTGTGGACAATTATACATGTGAGTGTACGTGGTTATGCTGGATTGGAACTGCCATTGGGCAGTTACCAAGATCGAGACTGATGAAACACATGATGTGCTCAGTCGGGCTACTCTCGACTGACTGTCTGTCGGACATGCGCTTGACATATGAAACCTGTTTGATTTGCTGTGTCTGGATGCGCTTGGGGGGAACATTGACAACCTGTCTGTTACGCTCCAACTAGATCTTACTGGCCACAGGAAACTGAATCATTGCTGGGGAGACAGGGTGCACCGTCCTCATGGCCGTGCTATGCTCAAAGAATGGTTCCATCTAATGTGATATGGCCTATAGCCCAGCCACCGTAGCGACTACATTTGGTACGCATGATTCTCCAACTAGCCAGAAGAATCTGTCTAATATTGGCCGCTTCCATATTGTTTACATCCATTCTACTACGCAGACTCACTCAGATTCGAGATCTAACTAGCGTGAAGAACGGGCGATTGGAGCAACCAAGTATGGCATAATTTTTACCCCCTCGGAGTGCAAAACAGTTCCAGAATCGACATCCACCTGATCTAGTGCTCACCTTCGAAAGTATTGAGCCTGAACAACTGGACAGCAGTGTCTACCCGAGGAGCTGCGTCTCCACTGACTGCACTATTGGAAGAGAAATTTTTGTTCGCATTGCCAAAAACGGAGTAGTGTTCGTCAATCTGAAGCATCTGTTATGCCATGGAGACGTTTTAATCTTCTTAAAAGGCAGGGTCTACAAAGCTTGTGTTCGCGCTGTTCGTGCAGGGGAGCAAATCATTGCCGATTCGTGTGAACGACATGCATCGGCCTTTGATAACGGTTGTCTGCGGAGGATATGTGTTAGGTTGTGGAAACAACCAGTTTTAACGACGATGTTAGATAATGCGGGCCTTCCTCTTAACGAAGGTATATCACTGGGCCAATTGAGATGGCTTACTCACGTCCCGCTCATGCCATGCGAGCGACTACCACTACGTGCTTTATTCACTGTCACATGACCGCACCGAAAAAGGTCGCATAGTCATCAGTCTACCCCACATGGCTACAAAAGCGTCGAAGCTCTCACTGCCAGTTTAGCCATCATTGGTCCCCTGCGTTTTCTGCGCTGGTGTGCTGAGGATGAAGGACATAATTGGCTCAAAAAAACTTGGGGGCATGGCGCGGAATCGAGATCAGTCGAAGATTGTGTGAATGTATGCTTAGATTTATCCGTTTAATATCACAATCACTGAGTTGACAACCGTAAGACAAAACTGCAGGTAGAAAGCCCAAAAATCACTTAATTCTTATCCATTTCCCTCTTTGTGGATTATGTGGCTAGTATACACGATGCTTCCATGTTTTTGACAGCTATGTGTCTGTCTTACAAACAGTTTCAACTGGATATATATATATATATATATATATATATATATATATATATATATATATGGCTGTAGTTTGATATCCCTGGTATGGTTGCGCTTGATGTGTATGTTGACAAGGTGCCTACCTGTCTATTACCCACTACATCGTTCATACTGGCTCCAGGAGACAGTTGGTCGTTGCTGGAGGGGACGGGGTGCACGGTTCTTGTGGCCGTGCTAGGCTCAAAGAGCGGTTCCATGCACTCAGTGTGGAGCGGACTACGGTCCAGCCACCGCCTTGTGTGCGGTTGATTCCCCAAATACAGCGTGCTTGTGTTTGCCTGTGAAGGAGTGTGGGCCGGCTCCGTTGATGAAACGTGGTTCCCATCCGCATGCCTCCCGGTCTTATTCCTTCGGGTTTACACTGGATATGGGGTATGTGGTTGGAGCTGTGGGTGGTGCAGCGCAAGCCATCCATGGTCCCTCTGTAGGCGCAGGCGTCCTGTGGCTTGCCACAGTGACAGGCAAATCCGAAACCGGATGCCGCCAACCATATATATATATATATATATAGTGCATGTTTGTGATAGCTCACAGTTCAGTTTGGATAAACGCATGTGGATATGTTGTATTCGAACTGCCATTGGACACGGATGACCCCAATCCATGTATATATGCATATTGAATGAATTCGACGAGGATACTCATACCGCTTTTGTACGACCAACTTAGTGCACGGAAACGGCACTCGGGCAAACCGAAAATAACATTATCAGAACATGAAGAAGGTGAGTTTATGACAAACTCATGTTGATTTCAGGTGCTGCGAATCCAAGGCAAATTTTGATCAATGCGAATTCCGTGGACTACTATAAAGGGTGGTTTCTCAGGTGCAGGAGAAGGCACCATTGCAGGTGGAATAGAAGCACCATGTGCACGCTTCCATTCGATTTACTAATCCAGGCCAATAAGGCGGCGTATGTGGTACGTTCGTCTGTGATGAGTAATCTTGCATTTCAGAAGTAGATGTTGCTTGAGCATCCCTGTGTGGATGCGCCTGATGTGAATGTTGACAAGGTGCCTACCTCGTCTATACTGGCTCCAGGAGACAGTTGGTCGTTGCTGGAGGGGACGCAGTGCACAGTCCTCCTGGCCGTGCTAGGCTCGAAGTGTGGAGCGGACTACGGTCCAGCCACCCCCTTGTATGCTTGATTCCCTAACTATAGCGTGATTATGTTTGACTGTGAAGGAGTGTGGGCCTGTTCCATTTCATCAACAGAGCCGGTCAATCAAAATGCCTCTCGGTCTTATTCCTTCGGGTTTACACTGGACATGGGGTGGGTAGTTAGAGCTGGAGGTGGTGTAGCGCAAGTCACCCATGGTCCCTCTGTAGGCGCAGGCATCCTGTGGCTGTACCCGTGGAGGCTGCAGTGACAGGCAAATCCGAATCCGGAAGCCGCCAACTAAATGAGACTGGCGCTTCGATAGCACGCAACATCTGGCAATCGCATTCGAGAAGTTACCAGCTCAACCTGACAACGTGCGGATTGCAAGTCACGGGCCTAGACCAATTGGTCCGGCAGTTATCTTCCTGTGTGTTATGGCCGTTCTTTTAATTTCCCCTATTCTTTTTACTAACTTCACAAAAATACATTTAAACATTGATACCTTTATGTCAATCGACAGTAATCAGAATGCTGGGAAAATGGAGTAGCACAACCAACTTCGCGATAGAGTAGCACTGTGGTGATCCGCAACGCACCAATTCTTTGTACTGATTCTACACCTCCACATTCATAATTCTGGCGGTATAGAAATTTCTCACCTTCACCGCATTCAGTCGGAGGCATATATATTTTGGTTAAAATATACGCTGGAATGCAACAGTTTTACAAGTTACAGTCTGATCCTAACAAGTTCCTTAGATGTTTTTTCTTCACCTACACAGACGAATGTGACTTCCAACAAGCCCATGGAGCGAACAACAAGGCCTCCAGTTTCCGATACTGTAGCTATAGTGACATACTCCAACTCCGTGGAGGTTGCCGACCAGACAGCTTTGCCTCCTCCTGAAGCGTACGCAGGAGATGACCCGAGGATCGCAAACGAGTGTCATCTACAGCCATCACAATCACATGTATTTGCAAGCAACTCTACTTGTCCCGTGAACGGTCTGATTGCACGAAAACCTGAGGATCCCTCCTGGGCTCCAGACTACTATATCGGAAAAGGTAAGTACATCAAACCATATGTAACTTGATTGACTGAAACTGTACGATAGATCGGCTTGTATCCACGTGCCAGTAACTCAGAACACTAATTTCATTCAGGTCGTCTCCTCACCATGTCAACTAGTATAGCCAATCAAAGGTGTTCCTCTTCCTTCAGACCACAGCCCGGCAGTAGGGAGACACCAACCGACGCCAAGTTTGATGTGAGAGCCTTCATTTCTCTTGACCAAGTCATAGCTTGGCGTTTCCTTTTCTCCCATCCACACCCTCAGCGAGCAAACAACGCGCAACGCGGGAGCCGGTGTGCTGGCTTGCGCAACACGTGGCCCAGCCATCGAGCTTGGTGCGTGATCTAATGGTGCTGAGTGGTTAACTAGCTCTTTCCACACCAAATACACGACCCTGAACACGCGCATTGCTCACGCGGTGTTCCCACCAGACGTGTTCTATGCTGCGATGGTGGCGATGATCGAACGTAATTAGCATCTTTATGTGTGCCAAACTGATGGGCCACGTTTCGCAACCATACAAGAGTGTTGAACACACGGCTGTGTTGTAAATCATAGTTACCTGGGCGAGAGTGATGTCGCGCCGGCGCGACAGGTGGCGGAGATTGGCAAAAAGGCCCCGAGTTTTTGTTATATGGTTCGTCATATCATCCTCTATTCCAGTGACGCTGAAATAGCTGCCTGAACACTTAAATTTCTCGACGACTTCGTGCTGATCACCACCAAAGATCAGCGCAGGGATGTGTTCGTGCCAGTGGTGAAGGAGGTTACGTTTCGAAGATGCAAAAAATAGCCCGAAACGACTGGCAGCCATTGTTAATTTGTCTAGTGCTGCTTGGTAAATTTCGGAGCTGACACAAATAAAACACCAGTAGTACGGCGGTACGCAGTACTGACGCTTCGTTGCAGTGCAATCACCACTGATCGCACGTGGGCTAAGGATACTGCGAGGATCCCCCTGCCCCTACGTAGGCTCGAACCCACTCCGTCGGATTGCAAGCCAAGCTTGTTACCATTAGGCTGTGGACCGGCAGTGTCGTCGGCCTATTCCAAGTAAGCAAACCGATCACCTAGGAGAAGCTCCTATCTAGCGAGTTCAGTTTCCATCACTTCGTCGATGGCGAAGTTAAACTGGAAAAGTGACAGCGGGCATTCTTGTCTCACATCGCTGGAGATATTGAAAGGCGGTGACAGCTTGCCGCGAGCCCTCATTGTGCCCAAACTGCGTGCACTAAGCGATCAGATAATCCTAACGTATTTCTCGGTTACACCTTTCAAACAGTCCCAAATGGTGCACTAGTCAAATGAATCGAAAGCACCTATGATGTCGAGGAAAACGACTACGGTGGGTTACTAATATACATGGCGGTGTTACATCAATTGACGCAATGTCGTCAATTCATCCTGGATTTGGACGAAAGCCGGCTTGCTGCTCCCACATCCGGCGTTCATGAGTGTCGGTGAGTCTATGCCGATCGACAAATGTAGGTAACATACGTTTTCCACACCAATGCATACCTGCTACTAATTACATCTGGCAAATATTCGACCAGTGACCCTCTTCTGTGTTCACTGAGTGCTTACTGAGCTCGGATGATAGCGTACTTTGATGCGGATTTGGAACATCTGTCTTCGCCAGTTGGCAAGTATCTATGCGCTCACAGCGTTGTTGTACGCATCCACCTTACGGTCTGTAGACACAGATCGTTTATCAAATAGCGCGACCTGCTGCATCAGCCTATTCGGTAATTTTTTTACGGGATTCGAGTCGGATCACAGATCTATGTGGTGTGCATACTCGGTGTTATTCATTTAGTTACAGAGCATTGCTTCCATTCCGGGATAAGCAACGGGCTTGACAATGAGGTTTGCACTAGGGCGGTATAGACAAATGCGGTTTCTCATAGTAGTTTCATTGGTTATAATATGCGGATTTCAAGATGGATATCTGCACACGCGTTGTTTTTGTCTGGCGGTCCTAGAATGACGCGATCGGTTAACTTGGGGCTGCAAATGGCCAGTGGCCAGCTAAATCGCAATCTGCTCAATAACCGCATGAGGTTTTGCGCGCAACTACGGCTTGCCGATACTTTATCGGGAATACAAACGTTTAACGCCACTGGAAGATACATGGCGGCATGGGCAGACAAGGGATTGTTGATAGCAAACCAGTGTGTGTTGCAGACGGCATAAATGCCATAGTTCAGTGAGTAATTTCGCTATGGTGTGTGTGTTATGACGGTAGTGACGGTGTAGGAGAACCAGGTGGAAAAGGAAGATGGTCATTGGCAGTAGTCTGTTTCCACTTATCCGCTCTACTTTGGAGCGAATATGGCGAATCTTCTGAGAATCTACGTCGACCATTGAGGGTTGGGTAAAATTCTGCTTTACCGTATTACCGAAAGTAGGATGCTGCTAGAGTGCCCAAACCTAAAATATTTTATGTATTAGGATTCCCAATTAGTCTTTGTTCAGAAGCCTATTCGTAATGAAGGACTAAACAACAGCGTTCCACAAGATGAGCTATTTTCACGGAAATCGGCGCCGCTCTTAGCCCAAACCTAGACCACAGTTTATATGACCCGTCTAACGATTAGACACTGATCAGCTTAACTGTTTAGATCACTAAGAACACCGCCCGTTGTAGTTGTGCGAATCAGAAATTCACATGCCGTCACAGCACGTTGACGTTGTCTAGTTGCAATAAACCCAAAGTGCTCCTTTTGCGCATAGCTTCGTATGTCGCCTCGCAGCCGACACCAATCAAATGTGGTGCTTCGGAATCAGCAACGAATATTATCCTACTTTGTCCTCAGTCTGTCATTTCGACTTTTCAGTTAATAAGGCACCATTTTCACAAGTCCTTTGATGGTTTGTGTATAGATTACTTCTTCATTTTTCAGTGATCACTCTTTACGAGTATATACGGGATAAAGATGATGAGTTGACCTTCACCGAAAATCAGGTCATCTTCGTAGTGAAGAAAAACGATGACGGCTGGTGGGAAGGGATTATGAATGGTGTGACCGGTCTCTTCCCTGGGAACTACGTTGAAGTGATCGACTGAAAACCAGCTTCAATCGACCGCTCCATTTACTAAATCCTATCTATATTTGCTTTCTAATTTCTGACTGAGTGACCATACTTGATGATTTTGAATGATAATTTGTCATTTCCTTGCTGGACATGTTTAACTATGTAATAAACACAAATTGCTATTTGTTCTGTTCACTTGGGTGACGACAACTGAGTTTAACTTACCTTAACTGCTTGATAGGTACCAGCAAATCATTCCTTGATTTTAGTCTGTTTTGGTGTCCAATCAGCCGCAAAATTCTCGGGGACATGCGGCTTCACTTTCCGTCCAACTTGCTATTGATCTGTCAGCCTCGGCTACTTTACCTGTTTGACTCCTGCAAGCAAATCAGACACCTCGGTGCATCTGGGTCGCCTGTTTATGGGATATGCATGAGCTCATATTTGGTCCCGGTCCTATGGCATGGCAAAGATGGAACTGACTAGCTAGATTCCAATGCCACTATCATGCACATTGTCGCTACAGTCGTTTACCATTGGCCAAATGAAGCGGACGAAATAAGTACCATGTTGAGGGTCATTTTGAAGTACATGCTGTGTGGATGGATTGCGACGCGCAATCTCAATGTTGACCGCGATTCGCATTGAAGTGAACCTTGGTCTTTCGATCATGAGGGCCATAGCTGATGCACATCGAAATTGGGTGTTGCCTTCCCGAAAACACTGCACTACTATGACGTGTTTTGATGTTATTACATCTCATCAGATAGAGTTAGCAGACATCGAACCCGGGACCATTGGGATGTTAGTTGTGACCGCTATGCCTAAGCCACCGGGTCACGACGGGCAACGCTTGGCACAACGGTTTAATGAACGATGTTGAGGGTCACTTTGAAGTACACGTTGTGTAGATGGATTGTGATGCGCAATCTCAATGTTGACCGCGATTCCCATTTAAATGAACTTAGTCTTCCGATCATGAGGACCGTAGCTGATGCAAAATGACACTCAAAATCGTTCATTAAACCACTGTGCCAAGCGTTACCCGTCGTTACCCGGTGGCTTACGCGCAGCGGTCACAAATAACATCTCAATGCTCCCGGGTCCTCGTGATCGAAAGTCCAAGGTTCACTTCAATAGGACTCGTGGTCAACATTGAGATTGCGCGTCGCAATCCACAAAACGTGTACCTCAAAATGACCCTCAACATCGTTCATTAAACTGTTGTGCCAAGCGTTGCTCGTCCTGACTTAGGCGTAGCAGTCACAAATAACATTCCAGTGGTCCCGGGTTCGATGGCTGCTAACTCTATCTGATGTGATGTAATGACATCGAAACCCGTCATGGTAGTGCAATGTTTTCGAGCGGGCAACACCCAATTTCGAAATAAGTACTACTTTATGTTACTGTGCAGTGAACCTTGTGCGCCCGTGGCATAGTGACCTGATGTCAGAACACACCTGCGGTCACGCTGCAAAGCGATGCCAGCTATGAATTGTTCGTACCAATTTATCCGCGGGATCCACGGCGTAGTGATATCCATAACTGACCTGCAACATCGCCTTACTTTCGAGTCCCCACTCCGACATTGGCTTCGCTCCCCTGGCAGTGTACCACCCCGCGTACAACCGTTTGAGTTCGCATGGCAACGGTGCACCATCACAATGACCATTGGGACGAGTCTGGACTTCGTGGTGGTTCGCTGGTTTGCATGCTTCAACAATCAATTGAGCTGCGCTGGGTGGTGCTTTTTGCAACTTCAGAGTCACTCATGCCAGATTGGTCAATGGTTAGAAACCACACAAACTCAGTCTCTTGGTGTTCCAAGTTAGGGCTTGGAATATATATATATATATATATATATATATATATATATATATATATATATATATATATATATATATATATATATATATATATATAGTCGATTCCGGTTAATAGGACCACCGGTTAATAGGACCAGCCGCTTATTCGGGCCAAATTCTGAAGAACCGAAACGAATCCTATTACGCTAGCCTAATTTTAGCCGCTTATTAGGACCGGAATTCCGCTTAATCGGACCAGACGATAGAAGGTGGCAGATAACAGAGGTGTTAAAATCAAGTTCTGTGCCTGGATGTCTGGACTAAACCCACAGTTCATATGTCGGGCAAGAAAGCGTATCATTCAGTTACGGTAATCTGAGTTGGCCTTTGGATAAACTGAACTGTGGCAACCTTGAGGCACATCTATCCAATTTGCTTCAGAACCGCCCGAAACTGACTGTAGTTTCCAACACTTGTAGGCGGAGCGAAGACATACATGCTTGTTCACATGTCGTTAACCCCTCGATCGATGTACCGCACGTCCATTGAGCCGAATGCCCTGAGCCCGCATTGCGGGCCTACTCTCGAGCACGGCAAGTGATCGCGGACACACAGGTCCGGCAAATCATTGGACAGCAGGTGGCTAAGTCAACCATAGAAATACCCAGGAGACAGACTCGAGTTCACCTCAGTGAACTGTGCGTGTCTCGTTGTATGTTAAGAAAATGCCACGACGGGACTTGACGTTAGCTGAGAAGATTCGTTTCCTAGATCAGATCAAGGAACAGGGACCAACCACTAGTCAGCGTCGATTGGTGGAAATTACCTGCTTGGCAAAATCTACAATATCGCGCCTGATAAAACAAGAGAAAGATCTGCGAGAAGAATGAGCACAAGGTGAAGGACGACGAGGTACTTCCCAAAAACGGAAGCGTGAAGGCAAGGATCCAGACGTCGATGAGGCCCTTAATGATTGGTTTGCCTTTGTTACTGGACGAGCCGTGCGAGTAAGTGGCCCAATGTTAAAGTACAAAGCAGAACTCGCTAAAATGCTGGGCCACGAAGATTTTATAGCTACGGACGGCTGGTTGTCTCGATGGAAATCTATACATGATGTAAAATTTAAGAAAGCACATGGTGCGAAAGAAAGTGCCAATAGCGCTCGAGCTGAAGAATGGAAATCAACAAAACTACCAGAGCTTCTTGAAAAATTTCCAGCAGATGACATCTATAATGCTGATGAAACCAGGTTATACTATAGGGCTACACCAGACGGCTTCTTAAGTTACAAACATGTTACTCTCTCTGGCTGCAAAGAAGCAATGGATCGCGTAGCTGTCTTGTGCTGCTCAAACATGTCCGGAACAGACAAGAGGAAGTTGCTGGTTATGGGAAAATATGCCAAGCCTCGCTGCTTTAAGGGACTCAGAATGGACAGTTTACCAGTTGTGTATCTTGCGAACAGAAATGCATGGATGAACTCTACACTTTTTAAAGAATGGGTGAAGGATTGGGACACAGAGCTACAACGCCAGTCAAGAAAAGTGTTATTACTCCTCGACAATTGTGCAGCACATTCAAATTTGGATTTCTTGAAGAATATCCAGATGGAATTTCTGCCTCCCAAGACCACATCTTTGATACAGGCAATGGACATGGGCATCATAAAAAATGTGAAGACCTTTTATCGTTCAAGGTTGATGAATTACATCCTTGAATCAATTGAGGACGGTTTGATGACCTCATCCTCGACGGCCGGAGAAATCAGTGCAAAGGTCAACATTTTGCAAGCCGTTACATTCGTGGCCGAAAGTTGGCGAAAAATGAGCAGTGCGACAATTCGGAACTGTTTTTCTCATTGTGGCTTTAAGCATATTGTCTCGGAGATGGATGTGGATATGGTGATTGTAAATGAAAATGACGGCGAGACTGTGGAGCTGAAACAAGTTGAAACTTACGAAGAATTTTTGTCAATCGACAACGAACTTCAACTGTATGATGGAAATAAAGAATGCGATGCTGCCATTGTTGCTCGAATAGCAGCGAAACACACGACAGCAACAGAAGTCCATGGAAGTGATGAAGGGAACCCTAACGTGTTGATGCCAGTCACAAAACAGGATGCAAGGAAATGCATTTAAACATTGCACCGCTATTTCATGCAGGAAGGAAATGAAGTTAGTCCTATTACTGCGTTACAAGTTTGTGGTGATTTTGTGCGAATGCAGTCTGTTAAAAGAATGCGTCAAACCGCACTGGATACGATTTTCAAACGCTGAATGGAATTCGGTAATCCCTTTGTATAAAACTGTACTTCGCATGCTGAATATCTTGTAGGTCGTTAAGAAAAATTTGTTTGTAAATTTCTTTTTCAGTGAACAAAGTTCGTTATCAAAGCAGTTCTTTTTTTGTGTTTGCTATAAATATATGCCGCCAATACAGGTCATAATAGTAGTTTCCTATGTTATGTATAGCACGTCCCATCTTGTTACATCGGGTAACTTCGGTTAATCGGACCAGCCGCTTAATAGGACCAAGATGGTCTGGTCCCGATGTGGTCCGATTAACCGGAATCGACTGTATATATATATATATATATATATATATATATATATATATATATGATGCTGTACTCCACACGGATACCGTACTCACAATCACCTAAGGCACTAGATTTCATAGCATTTAGGTAAATATTAAACAGGTCAGGGGCTAACACAGTCAGATTTCACACTAGAGGCAATATCAAAGTCATCCGAGGTTCGTCTACACAGCTGCACCCTCGATGTACAAGCATTATATAAAACTTAAAAACGACTCAGGCAACCAAACACCAGCCAATGCCTCGCGGAACACCGCGTCAAATACTTTGGTGAAGTCTACAAACAACGAGTCTACTGGCTTGTCATCCTCTGCATTTCTGCAGCTGATGAGCTGCGAACACCATATATGTGGTCCTGCGCTCGAACGGAATCCACATTGCTCTTCCGCCACGTTCAGTTCAACGACCTGAGTGACGAGGCGGTTGAACAGGATTCGAGCAACCACCTTCCCAACACAACTAAGGAAACTGATGCCACGATAATTCGTATCACATTGCTTGCGTCCTTTGCCCTTGTACAGTGGTAGCACAAAGGCATTCTTCTGGTCAGCTGGCACCTCTACTCCAAAAAACGCGTTTCACTAAGTGGTGCAGCGCATGTATCAACGCGCGTCTGCCATATCTCAACCCTTCTGGCACACTTGCTGTTTCGCAGCTAAGCAATCTTATCTGCATTCCATGCTGTGTCGGCAAACACCACACTTCTTGTTGTTTCAGCCCTTGCAACGTACCCCAGTCAATGGCTGAACGATTTTCCAAGACAGTCGAAGTTCTGGCAACGTGTCTGCATTAGGTCCTCAGGCTGTGTGC